GTGACAATGCCAATGACGGTCGTTCAGACTTGGTCTAACGTGACTCTAACAACCATAATGATTGTTACAACAACCAGGAGCATTAACAAACCAAGCAGTATCCATCACCTTGATTACGACCCCACAAAGTTTAAATCGCTGGGATTCCCTGCCAGTCAGTCAGACATAAAGAAGCATCTTGCATGAGAGGTGAAATGTCTAAGAGTATCTTAAACCAAGTCCACTTGCCCTTGATTTTAACTCACCTTGGATAACTATGACCTGGATGACTGAGAATCTTCACAGATATAATAGAACAAGCCTGATTTCCACTCTGACCGTTAGCCATAAATGGATGTAGTAGCAATTTTCCTATTGTGTGGAATTATTTGATTTTTTGTTTTCAACATGGGTTTATTTATAAACTTTCCCACCACTGGCCAATGATGGTATAGCAACAACAACGACAACAAAAAAAATCCCATCCACATGGACCACCATTATAAAAGACTTGTACATCTTTTGACAGGACACTTTGAATGGCACACACGGTTTGTTATTGCACTTTGAAACAGGCTATTTCAAACCATTAAGGTTTAGTATACAAAAACTTCACACTGAGCTCAGAAAATTTGAAATGTTTGTCATCTCACTGTAAAAGCACAGTAGATATGTTCAGCAAGGGCATCAAAGTGCTTGTTTGGGCCGAACAATCCCGAATCCATCCAAGAAGGAACACTTTTGTTTGGCATGCATGTTTAAATGAATGGGACTGTAACACTTGCTGGATAAAGCTTTTACAGCATGTAAAATCATAAAATGGATTTACAGTCAATGCAGTAAAATGCAGTACAGGTGCAGAATAATGCATGAAGGTGGATGAATCAGATTTTCTGAATCAGTCTAAATGAGGCACATGGAGATGCATATAATCTGCTGCGGACACCAAATAACCTTGTTACAAATTCTCTGGGAGAAAATATATTAATAACCCTGTTAGAGTGGAAAAATATATATTACTGTTCCACCCTGAACCCCTCCTTCTTCTCCCAGATAATGACATTTCAGTGAGAGCAAATGAAATGGGCCAATTTTCAAACTCATTACAAACTCAGTTCTGAAAAGGAATGAAAAAAGTCGGAAACAGAAGGAGAGAGGAGAAAGAATATGAGACAAATGATAAACATTGACACTGGCTTCTTATCTGTGTGGTTTATGTGTATATGTGAGACTGTTTTTGTTTTATATATGCATGCCTTGTCTGTGCCCTTAGGTGTGTACATGGATTGCAGTCTTGTAGTTTGTGTGTGTGTGTGTGTTTTTGTAGATTCATGCTTTCTGAAGATTTTTGTGTGATGTGTGTGTGTGTGTCCATGTGTTAACTATGCTCGGAGCGTACCTTTTTTTGTATCTGTGTATGTGTGCATCAACTCAGCCCAAAGCCAAGCTGACAGACAGCTTCCCTCTGAGGAGCCCCTTAGTGTTTCTGATTGATCGTCATAATGCCAAGGTACAGGCCCTGTCCTTGGTGCCTATGCTAATCTCAGGCTCATGCATATTTATGAGCTCCTTGGGAATCAACCAGCTAAATAAAGGATGAGGCCATTGGCTTAGAGCTGCATTCATCACTCACTCTGATTGATTAAAAAAAAAAAATAGCAGCTTATAAAGACCTCTGCTATTTTATTTTATCTTCTCAGTTCAGGGATCATAATGGGAGCTCATGACTTTTAGAGAGGAAACAAAAAGCAGAGGTCTCAAGATTAAACACTTAAACAGAATAATGTTGGTGAGTAGTTACATGGCTGCCATGCCCTGTGTATATAGACCTTTAGTTTTAACCATGGTTGTTTTTCACCATTTATCATTTGTTTACTACCAGTAGAATTGATCATTAAATATAATATTTTACATTTAGAAAAAGGTGAATCCCTTGAGTACATCTCAGAAATGTTTTGCCCATAGTAATCTAAACACCCTGGCCTATAATAAGGGAGACCATTTCTTTATTGTTAACATACCTACATGTTGGAGTAGTTGTTGTGCTCTCACTGGTAGATCATTTAATTCCCTAGTTATTTTTCAGACATACTTAGGCTATACACCAATTTGACAATTTCTGTTTTGTGGTTTTGTTACATTAGGTTTATTTCTATTTTGTTGTTTTTTTGTTTGTTAGTACCCTGCCTTTTGCTTGCTATGTTGTGTTTGATTGCTTTTATTGTAAGGCACTTTGTGAAGTGCCATATAAATAGATCATTCCTTACTTCATTTTGTAAGTAAACAAGGCTGTAAGAGTTGGCATATTGATTGATTTTTTTTTTCTAATTTTAGGTGATGAATCATATCTATCATCCTTCTTCACTCTTCTTCTACTGCTTCATGTTGGAAACTATTCAGGGATGTCTGTTTGTTAGCCACGATGCTAGCTAACAACAAGGTCAGCAACAACAATGCAGACCTCAAAACATGTCGCTCATGTACACTGTACATTGTGCAGTGAGATGATGATGTACATCATCTTGCTGTGTGCCAACTGTTTGCACTAGCAAAAAAAAAAACAAGGGTGAAGGGTTACTGTTTTATATATGTTACATCTTTGTGGACTGAAAAACGAGCACTGTGTGGACTTGTCCCAGATCTTAACCTGGTCTGAAGAATCACTGTACCAGATCTTGTTTGATTCTAAAGCCTGCCACTGTAAGACTGTTCGTAGCTGTGTTAGACAGTGGCACACGTTGGGCCCCAAAGGCAGTGAGAACTGTTCAAATGTGGGAGTTTTTAATATCCAAATGTTTGTATACTACGGCACTGTTATTTGCCAAATAGAAGAGAGTGAGATTTCACCTCAGTATCCGTAAAACCAGGCTTTTTCTGAAATAAGTAAATATTAAATATTTTGCTGGTGCTGAAACCAAGATATGTAATTTGCACGGTATATACAAAGAACAACACTTTAGGATCACAGGTATTTTCTCATGTGTTGTGACATTCAACTGTCAGATCCATCAGATACATTCATGCAATTTTAAGTACACCACTATTAGGGCTGAGAGAGATGAGTTCACATTCAACATTTTGGTCCCTTTATTTCATGTTAACCACATTTCAAACAACTAAACAACCAATGGTAATGGCATCACCAGATCTAAACAACACTTTGCTAGACAAATAATCATCAATAATAATTATATAAAAGAAATGTACAAATTTCAGACAAGATTTCAGACAAAAATATAAAACAAAACAAACAAAATATATAATACAGATGAACAGCCATGAACTAAGCCAAGAAAATAAAGCCTTAATGGAAGTAAAAATGATGAACATTTCTGGCATTCACATTGTCTTCAATATAACACTCTTACTGTTTTTGTCTTGATAGGTCCATTAAGAAGCCTGACTGGACTCCAGCAAACAAAGAAAACATAAGCGCATACTGAACATTTTACCACAAGTACCGGTTCTGGTCAAAAGCATTGATACTAACGAACAAACTTTGCTAACTAAAAAATGTTCACATTTGAAATGTGAAGTTTCATTCAAAACTGGGTAATCCATTGTCTCAAAATACTGACAGCTGCTGGTATGAATTGATGGCTGAAATCACATTATGGGCTACACTTTTTTAATCTACTGGCTTACAAAACTGCCTTTGTCATTAGTTTCAATTATTCTTCTAAAACAGGTCTATGTTGGAAACTGAAGGCATTAATCTGGTGTCTTGGCAGCCATATTACCTCAACCTACACTGTGACATTGCTTTAGTCCCCAAAAGTACCCTAAATGTTATCACAGTTCTTTTGACTCAACACAGTTCAGAAGGTGCTAAAACAAAAACAGGGAGTTCAACTTTAAAATTTGTTTGTTGTTTGGTCTCACATCTTGTAAATGGGCAACAGAGAAAGTAAAACATTAAAAAACAAAAGGCTGATTGAATGAGGATGTCATGGGAAGCTGAGGTCAGCGTCATATGCTGCATAATTCTCATTACGTTACATATAGCATCTGAACTGTCAACCATGTTGACTTTCTTTCTCCCTGGGGTCAGTCATCAACTGAAATCATTTCCTATTAGACTACAAACCTGAATGGGCTTAGCAAAAAGCAAACTGAAGGCCGTTTGCAGAGGAAATGTAAATGTAACCTGTATCTTTGTTTTTGTGTTGTCATTTTAGTGATCGATGGCAGACTGGAAAATAGCTTAATCCAAAAGCTTATTTTTCACTGAAATTCATCCTGAATTTAATACATGAAACCTAGTAGGCTTATGGATTTGACCTATATCAAGGAAACTCAACAAGTCTATCATTTTAACCATTGTGGGTAAAGTTTACACTGCAGTCATTCGTGACCAATTTGATTCACAACCCATTTCCTTTTTTTTTCTTATTTTAGAGACTAATGTTTATTGGAAAATAGGTGTGCAAATATATTATATTTTCCTTCTTATTGCTTTTCCAAAGCTAATGCTGCATGGTTCAAATAACAACACAGTCTCACTCCCTACTCGTCAAATGTCTGACGCATGGTCAAGGCCCTTTGTCGTCGCTTTTTAAGGACTTGGGTAGCCCTTTTGCATCAATTATTGACGTTTAGGGATCCACAGTCAAGTTAGCAACACTTAGCAACAATAAATATGCAATATCCGGTTACACTTTCAAGATAAAATGTAACGTTTCGATACATTGCCATGTTGAAACGCACATAATTAAAGTCGTGAAACGTTGCAGTTTCGTTAGGTTTAGGCACAGAAAGTACTTGGTTGGGTTTAGGCAACAAAACTACTTGGTTAAGGTTAGGAAAAGATCATGGTTTGGGTTAAAATAGCTATGTATGTCAATTAAGAATTAAGTTAACTAAATAAAAACATTTAATGTTTTGTTTCGCACTTCAAGGTCCAGGTTCTGGCCCTCTATCCACCCCAATCACCTCCTTACTTCGTCTTTTCTCTTAAATATCATACTTGCCTTTACCATCAAAAACTGACACAACAGGGCTTCCCTCAATACGTCGAACTATGACGTCAAAGGGATCCCTAGTGTGTCACAAACTGACGATTATGGCTCTTGACCAAGCGTCCATATGTGACGACTTGGGAGTGAGACCGGGTTGCAAATAAATACCATCTACCGTGGGAGAAAAAGAACAATACACAATTTTCACAGCCCGGGTTAAGTCCAAATCATCAAAACCAACAATATTTTAACTGTATGAATATACAAGCTACACTGTAGTGAAAAGAAATGTTAGGCCATTGATCTCTTGCTTTTTCCTGTCTGCAGTTCAGGAGGGACGAGGGTAGACATGGTTGGGCCAGTCTCGATATCAGTTAATAATTTATCCCAGTTTGATCATTGTCCTTTCAAGTTAAAGCAAGACAATTCATTCAAAACAACACAAACCAGCTGGACAAAACAAGTTACATTTAGTTTCTGGTCTTTTCATCTGGAATGACCATATGGATGTTCAGTTCAAACTACAGAAGACATGCAGGGTGACCTGTAACCAGACTATCACAAGCTAATTTCAAACAGCCATGTTCTTTTTTAAATGTCTCTTTAAAACTAGGGTAGGCAACGTTCAGGCACTCCCAGTCCGAATGAAATAACTGGCCGTGCTTATTATAGTCCTGCGTCAGCCACATATATTATATGTTTTTGCTTCTGAAATAACTTCATAGCAATCTGCTTCCCTCATTCTAAGTCACTCTGAATGTGGGCGTCAGCTAAATGTGTACTATGCAAAAATATATATCTTAATGTTTTGGACAACATGACTAAATGGACAGTTTGTAGTAAAGTAACAAGACATTTTTTCCAAACCATAACCACAGAGTTGCTGAAAATGACACTGACAGAGCATTTTAGAGCAATAGTGTTTTGAAATGATAACCTTTATTTGGAATGTGTCTGGTGCATGTTGTTTGTCTGTTTGTTTGTTTGACTGTGGTTGTCTTATCTTATTTACAGTAAGGGTGGATGCACACTATAAGATTTTGAGAAGATTGCTTTTACATAAAGCCATCCAAAAACATTTATAAAACTTTTTTTCTTACAGCCCAATGACAACATGCATCACAGATAACAACAACAAGATCTGGTGTTAAAAGCAACGCATGTATTTTTTTTTATTGTTATTTTTTGTTTACAGCTGTTGTTATTCTTCACCATGCACTTGCTCCACTCACTGTAGCATGTGATATGCAACTTCTTCCTTTTTATTTGTAACCATTTTTTTCCCAATAAAAGCAAGCTGTTTTTTCAAAAGAAAGCCATAAATGACTTTGCCTTGATGCAGAATGAATTTAAAGAAGACATACTGAGAATTTCTGTAACCAATTATTGAATTACAAGTATCATTAGCATTTAACTTTGATGCAGTCAAAGACGCAAGGAAATTTATCAGCTTGTGATTTCAAAGAAAAATGCCAGAAATATAAGTGGTCTGTTGGTTTTTGCTTTGATCGAGTTAAGTGAATCATCAACAACATCCACATTTGAGTAAAGACAGCCAAACATGTTTCATTAATTTCTATAAATGCATACTCTGGGTGGATAAATATTGGAATCCAAAATGCAAAGTTAAGGCATCACTTCCTCAGCTAAATGGGAATGTTCCCAAAAAATCTTCCAGTGTGCATCCAGCCTTCAGAGGGAGACAACATTCAAGGCGGAGAATATATCTAAAAAGGAAATACTGTACAATAGTCACATCACAGCCCAGCAGAGAGGACAGAGAGAGAGAGAAGGAAAAAGTGGTGTTTTTTTAAACATCTCATTTTGTTTTCAACATATCATTTTCTCTTTTTTCTTTGTACAAGCATGTAAGGTCCCCAGTCTTGCTGAAGTGAACACACACATGGAAATCATCAGTGTGTATGTTTCTCACTTTTTTTCCCTCTTCTGTACAGGTTGTATGCGTGTGTATGTGTTGTCACAAGCACACACATAGATACACATGTACACAGTCAAGTATGCAAGCACGCCCTCTCTTAATCACACATAATCAAGTGCACACACTCTCAAACACACACACACACACACACATACATACATACAGGCACACATGCTCACAGGTTGGATTCGGGACAGCACAAAGCAGTTTTGCACTTTGTGTGTCCCAGTGTTGCGTTGAGAATGACAGGCAGCGTCAACGGCGAATCAGAAAAGAAAACTTCAGAAGGAGCTGAGAGCCTCTAGAGCCACTTCATAGCAGAACTTATACTGTTCCTGTGGAGGGAACAGAATGAAAAGCAAAGGTAGGTCATCTGCAAAATGATTTCTTAATTGTTTTTGCTAAGCAAAATTAAACAAAATAATTATCCCAAAGTTATATATGGAAACTTTTTAATGAGATTTTCTTTCTAGTGCTTGCTTTTTAAAAATATTTTTTGTTTGGATTAATTACAGGATGAACATTTAGAGATTCAACTGGACTTAAGGCTAACTGTTTGGTTGAATGTCTTGTTAGGTGTCACTGTAGGCTAGTTGTCATTCCCAGTCTAGTATTTACTTATTGAAAACAGTTGTGTGAGTAAATTTAAGTCGTTAAGTGATTCACTACATTGGTATTGCAATACATTTGGTCTGTTCTCATTTATTAAGTGTGCATGTGTTGGATGAAAGTTAAAATCAGAATCAGTTTTATTGCCAAGTAGGTTTACACATACAATGAATTTGCATTGGTATATTGTTGCATAGCAATAAACATACAGAAGTAGAAAATATAGAGAAAGATAAAATTAGTATAGTAAGTTAAGAATCACAAATAGAAAATTGACCATAAGAGAATAAATGTGTGTGTTGTGAGTCCTCACCATAGTCTCCACCATATTAGTCTTGTTGTTCCTCAGTGTTTTGACGGTGTGGAAAACATCCACAATGTTCTGCTGCTGGATCATCTCATTGATGCTGCAGATGGCACAGAACGTTCCAGAACGACCTCCGCCGGTACTGCAGGAGGACGAAGAAGGAGGGGAAGAGTGGGAAGGCAGAAAGACAAAAGATCTTTATCATCAAGCAGTAACATTGTCATCCTGCAAACGTAGGTGTGTAAGCCAAAATTATCAGGCTCACAAATAAAAGCAATAAAATAAATAAGAACAGGAGAGCATGAGTTGAAGGGAAGACAGAAAAGGGTATAGAAAGATAATTAAGAAAGAGAAACTTAAAAACAGAAGGCAAAGACCAGCTGCTTTGACCAGCTGCTTTGCAGTCAGATATGTTCACTCCCCTCCTTTACAGAACAGAAGGACTTGTCTTTTACCTTTCATCACCCAGGGAACCCTACTTTTTAAAATGTGTTTATTATGGAATGGAATGTTTCCTTTCAGGCATTTCTCTTTTGCCGCTTTGTTGCAGCTGCTGTGCTGAGGTTGATTGTGTCAGCCTTTCAAAAAAATGCTCTTGTAACCTAAACCCTAAACTGAGAAAACTCACTTCAATAGGTTTTAATTCAACTTAGTAAAACAGGGCACAAGAAGCAATATTTGGCCCATGTTTGTATGTAGGATGAATGGCCTTTAGAAAAAACTACATTTTTAGTTTTAAGGGTATAGGAAAAGATAAGATTTGGAGAATGTCCTCCCAGGAACAACAATGGCATCAGTCATTCCAGAAAATGCCCTTGCATGACTATTGTATGAATATTTACGCTGTGCACTGAAAATGTGTGATCACTTTTGTGTTTATTTTTTAGAATAATTGCTTTTATTATAATTAAGTTATTAAGTATTGTTGAGGGCTTTATTTTTGCTGCTTGCAACAAGTGAAACATTTCAGCCTTGAGATGGAGACTCAAAGTAATTAATTTCACATTTGTTGTGAGAAGGAGCCTTATTTATTAGGAAAGACAAGAGCGGACCAAAATAAGAAAATCTGAATGAGAAATGCATGGTTCGTGTTATCATTCCTTTGAACATTTCACCTCTGTTTTTCATCACAGGACACAATGAAAATAACCAAGAACTACCTCTAAAGCTAAACGTTATGTAGCGCGAGTGTGATGAGTTTTATTTGTGGAGGTGAGTGTTCAGAATCAAGTTTAAAAAGTGTGGGAGAGCAGAGCAGCGTACTGTGGCATTCTTACACAATGGCATATGTCACGTTGTAAGCTACAGACAGCGTTTACATTTTTATGGGTTCCTGAACACATTATTTGCATGACTGAGTACATTAATTAACAACATTTTCAATACTATAGCCGTGAACACTTATTAGATATTTTTGCATAGGGTTATTCTGTTGGTGTTCATTACAAAAATGCTCTTAGTTAAAGATTAAGGTGTGAACCCCCAATTTTGTAAATTCAAAACTAACTGATATATTGAGTTAATACCTCACATTGAGTTAATTATCTTCAATTTAAATATGTTGATTTCTGTTGCTTTGTGAATTACTAGTAAATATATGATGTAACTTTTAGGTGATTCCATGGCATTATGTGATAGTAGCCATGGAACCAGTATAGATGTTGGAAAGATGCACTTGAATAAACAGTAGTGTTCATGCGATTTCAGGAGTGTGGTGAAACTGAAAATGACTTAAAAAGAAATTAACCATACTAATGTACCTTATTGAAACAATTGAAGCAATGACAGCAAACCACACAATGGACATTGAAACAAAGATACACAAATGCACAGGGGAAAGTTGTGAATTTTTATTTTTTCTTTACCAAAATAATGTAATAAACCACAGGAAAATACAGAAGAGAAATCCATAGTTCTTGTCTTAATTGTGTGTTTCAGGGAATTGCAAGACACTTTCAGAGTGTCATCTTAACTTTATCTTATTTTTTCATATGGTACAAGCATGCCAGATCAGATTCAGATTTAGATAACTGTGTAAATAACACATGTACAAATAATAAATCCTTTGTGTGTATAAATGAGCATGCTTTCACGAGAATTGTAAATTTGCATAATCAACGCCCCAGTAATACCATATAAGGCTACGTGACCTGCCCCATGTCAGGAAGTGTTCATTCATGAAAATAACATCAAAGGGTTAAAAGAAGAACTTTCAAGTTTGTGAAGTCCTAGAGGTCCATAAATGAAAGTACATCATTTCAACAGCATCAGCAGTGGAATTTAGGGAATAGGTTTAGATTGGTAAGTCTGTCTGAGTTGAAGCTCTAACAAGGTTCACATTTGCACAGGCACAGCCTTTAGTAATCTAAATGGCAACAACAACCATTCATCTGTCTCTGCCAATATATCAGTACGCTGTCACTCTCTTCCAAAGCCCTGACGGGATCCAAAAGATTACACTATTTTATATAAAGAGAGTGCATCATTGATGTCATTTTGCAGTTTGAGATTTTCATATTGATACTGTAGTGTTATACAGTGAAATGAAAGTGAATGATGTTATTGTTTATTTAAGAATTATATTATAATTTGAATTGCGGAGTCAAACAGGATAATGTCAAAATAATTATGAAGTGTAATTTATAAAGGATTTTCATACTCTCTAACTCTCTAACTTTTCATACTCTAACTTGTTTTAAACTAACAAAATAAACAATCCATTAGTGAATCCATTTGGAATAACAGCAGACTCCCACTATGACTAGTAAATTGTGTTTCGGAGAAAATTCAAAATACAAGAAAATTGGTGAATGCAGCCAGTTCTCCTAAATCACTTGTACAAACCACTTAACAACAAATCTGTCCATTCTATCCTTAATGATAGTTGTGTAACATCAGAAAACATTTTAATTTGTTCTGTAATGATTTGTTACGGTTTTGGAAGGCACACACAAACTGCTTCGTTCTGCGCTTCCATGTGTCATTCTCAAGGGCATTTTGTCATTACATTTGGAGGAGTTGTATTATAGTAATCATCCATTAGATTAAGTTTAGTGATTGAATAAAGTTCTGTGTGTTCTTGTCCAATTGTGCATGCACAATTATAGATAAGTCAGAAGAACATGCTTATACATTATGTTATTGATTTCTGCCATTAACATCTGAATCTTCTGCGATCTCTTAGGGCAAATCCAAATTTAAAAACACACCCTGTGTGTGTTTGTGTGTCCTTATAAGATATTAGGAAAAAACATTGCACTGCAGTTAAATGACTCCTGCTGCTCTTACAGCGGCACCTGTCACATAGATGTCCTTAAATGAATGAGGAGAGGAAGCTAGCAAAGTGTGATTTACCATGCTCACACAGTGAGCGGGTGAAAATAATTAGTTCCGCACTGATATTAAATAATTGAGTGAAAGTTTAGTAGCAGCAGTCATAATTCAGCAGGGATGCGCTGAATATAGGGGAACCATGTCCCTGCAAGGTGCACGTCAACATTACCTACATTTAGATAATGGATTTGTGAAATATTTGAATAAATAAACCCAGCTTTAATAGTTGAGCATATTTACAGTACAAACCTTGTCATATATGAGGGCAAAGAAACAACAAAAAACAACATTCAAAAACAAAATAATCGTTCAATAATGGTAATCGAGGTGAAAAGTTCAAATAGGCTAATTGTGATTTGGTTTTAGGTGAAATCGTCCAGCTTACAGTACACAGTACATACATGTTCTAGAAAGTAAATCTGAGACATTATAAGACTTTGTTAATGCTACCTGAAGTGAAAGTGCAACAATGAAAGTTGAGAAAATGAGACAAAAAATGACAGGATGTGACAGTGTGAACATGCAGTAAAAAGAAATTGTCACTGCATGGAGCAAAAGAATATGAGCTCTACTAATGGACATTTGAACAGATGAGTTCACCTTTTAACTGGAGTTTTTTTTTAGATTTTATACAGAGGATAACTTGCTGTAGCCTAATTGATGCAGTGATGCAATTTCATTCATCATTTGTGTGTATACATTGTATTTTTACTGGATATGTGGTCCAATCAGCAGTCAGTGCTCTGCCAGACAGCATTCAGACCACCCACCATGAAAAGAACTCCAGACTTTCCTGTCTCACCTGGTTCCAGCTGAATTCCTTCTTTATTCAGATTGAATAAAATATTCAGGTACTGTGAGGTGGAGTGGCAGCCATCACAGAAATCACCCACTGTCTGGCTACTCTGCATTAGCAATGTCAGGACCACCATTGTTTGCTCTCCAATCATCGTAGATTGTGTCAGATTAGTGTTCAATTTTTCAGATTTTATTAACTTTCCTATTCTTGTTGAATGCCTATAATTGAATGAAATTGCAAAAAAGGCAAAAAATATATATATTTGTCATTCACAGAATTTGCTACTAGACCAGACCAGGCTCAGAACCCCTTCATAGTGATACCTCTACCTCATAAACAATTAATGTTCAGGTTTTATTTTTTCACATGTAAATATGTAAATATATTTTGGAATGGGACATAGCGCCTTGGGTCTTCATTAAACTGGGTTTGGATATTAATATTTGAGAATAAAATTTAAAATGCAAAGGTATCCCTTATGCACTACTTTTCTGACTTCATGTTAGTTTCATTTTTTTTAGATTTAGGCTTTAGTGTCGAAAGATATTTCTAGGTAAGGGACAAAAATGATAGCAAATACATATTACATCAGTGCTGTCAGATACATCTTGGGGCTAAACTACATTAAACCCAATTACTGAAGAACAACCAGCAAAACCCAATAAAATCAAGGCAGGTCAAAACTCAAATATTACTGAGTCAAACAAATAGCAGAATAACTTTCACAAAATGTAGGTGTGGTAGCTGTTTAACCTCAGAATCAAACAATACATCCTATCAGTTTTACTGTGCATTGGTTGATTATTAGGCCTACTAAATTATGGGTGTGCTCACTTTCTCTATGATGAACACCCCAAGCTAATTCAGTATCATAATGCAGGCTATTTTTAGTTATATCTCCTTTTTTGTGGTTGGAAAACAGATTTCTGACTTCCCCTTTATTATTATATTTATAGAGCTCATGTTTGCATCATGCCCAGAGAGGTGATCAACAATTTTAGAATTTAAAATCCTTTGCAATAAAGATCTAGATGAAATAATGGCAGTCAATGTGGCTGGTGACTTTGAGAAAGAACTTCATGGACATAATTGATGTTTGATTCAAGTTGTTTATGAAAAACCAACTACATTATTTCATTATATGAACTCGTACAAGCTGTGAATATATCTGTTGGAACAAGACAGCATGGTGTATTTGTTATTCCCCTCTATCTAAATTACACATCTATATACTTTAAATAAATACTGCACAGACATATTGATGTGTTAAGTGTGCTGCTCTTCACAATTCTCTAACAGGTTCCACCATGATTTGCTGAAAATCTGACATGTGCTCAGCATTAAAGACCCATCGGACTCCAACCTCCAGGACAAATGAAGTGCAGAAAGAAAATCTATTTTCACCAGCTACTGATTGAACCATCATGTTTCTCCTTAGCTTTAGTATTACTGAGACTGTGAAATCAATAGCTGGGGCAGATTAGCCAGTGTAGCTGTCTTTAGCCAGAAACAGAGAAAGCCTGCCTCCCCTTCACTTACAGTTAAGTGAGGTTGAGGATGACAGTCAGGGTAGCGAGTAGCGTCATTACAACCAAATTATTTTGCTCCCAAATAAATTTTAATGCCTTTATTAATTTGCTAGTATCTGTTTATTGTAAAATAACAAATGCACATATAAGAAGAGTGAAGCCCATTAATGCAATTGGGTTATGGGTCTTGATCTGACTTGGGGGTCAAAGATAGAATATGTGTGTAAAGATTTTTGCATTAGTCACAAGTAGGTTTTAACCATAACAGCGTGTATTTCAAACTGTCTCTTTCACACAGAGATAGAAAACACACTGAACGCAAACAAAACCTCACAGCGGTTAGAAAAAAACAAATCAATGCCAGTTCTGATTGGCCCAATGAGCTGTGACAGAGGAAGCTGATTGGATAAGCACCAGTGAGGCACCTGAGGCAATGTTTGAGTGTGTGTGCATGTGAGTGTTTTTGTGTTCTTGTTAGTGAAGTTCCCTTTAATCTCTCATCTATAGATTTTATAGCCTCTGTTTCCCTCCCTCATTATCAGCTTCATTTGTTCTGCTCAGACAGGAAATGCATGGAGCTGAGCAGTGTTTGTGTATTTGTGTACAAAGTATATTTTTTTTTCTATAACCATCACTAATACTATTCAAATGTATAAAAGCTGACAGTGAAACATGTAACTGGAAACTCTAACGCCATTTACTATATATTTGTATATGGTTACTCTACTGATTTATAGTTTAAAATGTCGATGTATAATGTATCATACAAGAATATACAAAACAACAGAGACATCAGGTCTGACTCTTAATGTGATCATATCTGTGCAAGGTGTCTATTGAAGAAAGGATGTCCAGAAATAATACCATATATTGTATGTGTCATCTTAAAGGGTGTGTGTGTATGTTTTGTAATAAATCTGTGTGTGCATTCTTTTAGAGAAAGTGCACTTTATCATTAAGTTTATCTATAAACTCTCTGTCTTTGTCTCTCTCACACACACACACACACACACACAAACTAAGTGCACGTTTGTTTGCTTCCTACTATTTCATAACATGTTACTGTATCTACATGTGTATCTACGTGTGTGTGTCTGTGTTGAACTTACAGGCAGTGTACCACAGTCCTCCCGTCTCCTCCATCATACTGCTCCTGCCACTTAGCCAACCTCCTGACCAACTGGAGGATAGAGCGTTTAGAGAGAGGCGTGTCCCTGTAGGCTGGCCAGCCGATGAACTGAAAGTGCTGCACCAGGCGGTAACCGTCCTGTGGCTGAAAAGAGAGGAGTGAAAATTAGGATTTGTATCACCACAGGTTTTTTTCAACACAATCAATGTCATGCAGTAATTCTATGGGGAATGTAAAAGTAGATAAACAACTAAAACACCTTCCAAGTGCTACAGTGTCTGTAACGCTTCAAAACGTCACTAAATCGCAAATCATAAATCCACTTGTCTCCCCTGAGAAAATAATGTGTTTGTTTGTTAAATTTCAGGATTAGATGACAATTTGTCATACCCTCTGTAGTGTGTCATAGTGGAGGACAACCTATACTGCATCTAGAATGTCTCGTTAGGCTAGCATGTCAGAATTATATTTTTTCTTTGTCCTGTTTTTACCTCATCTTTAAGTCTAAATCATGCTATGTGATGATTTAGACACCATGCTTGTTGACATTTATTATACAGAAGTCTGCCTCTGTTCCTTACAGCCCAAACAAGTTCAACCAAGCTATGATTAGAAAGGATTCAATGTGCAGTCTGACTTGTCTCATGGCTAAGACAGTGCAGCAATTCAAAGCACATAATCTTAAAGTAACCATCTCAAAAGACATACGTGTAGTTTGAAGGTGTGCTTTTGGTTTCGCTGAAGCTGGGGAACAAGTTAGATAGCGGGAGGAAAAACATATCTTCTTCCATCACCAAAGACTATGAAAGCTTTATCTAAACAGTGCTTATTTCCTGTTATGTAGCATATCCAGCAGGTCTCTGGACAAAAAAGATATTTAAAGCAAGTAAGTAAGATGTATTTGCACAGTGCCCACCTGAGCCACATGTTGAAAAGTGCTAAACTAAAAACACAACACATATTACACAAAATAATCCTCAGAATCAGCAGAGGGAGCGCATTCCATAGCTTAGGTGCTACAACCTCAAAAGCTCAATCACCACAGGTTTTAAGTTGAGTGCGTGGGACAGACAGCAAATATAGCTTATTTGATGAGTAAGGGTCAAGTAGTGCAGCCACATCTGTAGAAGCCTGACAATACAATACTCTGTAATTAAAAGTGAGAATTTTAAATTAGATGCTATTCGTAACAGGGAGCTAGTGAAGAGGTCTAAGTATAGGGTTTATGAGAGACCGTCTATTTGACTTTGTGAGAAGTCTTGCGACAGCATTCTGGATTGCCTGCAGACATATTAAGTGAGGAGGAAATAGCATTACAGTCATTAATGCGAGATGAAATAAATGCATGTATAAACATCTTAAAATCAGCAGGTCAGCAAACTATAGATCTCAGTTTACTAATATTTCTTAAGTTGATAAAACAAGATCTGGTCTGCTGTTTAACATGGGTGTTGAAATATTACCCCTAAATTACACAGGTTGGAGTAGGCAGCAGAGGAAAGCTTTTCTTGAGCAACAACCAGAACCTCCATCTTATCAGCATTGAGCTAAACACAGTATAGTTGTAGAACGCAGTGTAGTTGTATATCAGAAGCTGCCAGTGGTGGTCTCATTTGGTAATGATATAATTAAGTGATACATAGAGCAATTTCCATGTGTTGGCATGCTGTTGTGCTCGAATTAGTTCTTGTTCCAAACAAAAGGCTGTTTCAAAAGAAATAGGATTGGACTCAACAAAGACGACATCTTATAATGTTTAATTAAATTTCACGGCAGACATAATGTTTTCAGACGTCTGGCCCGAGGCGGGTTGGCATCCAATATCTAAAATACCAAAACCCGCCATCACTGTCAGGCTGATTTACTGCTAGGTTTGCAACACAAGTATATGCACATTGACATTTATACACACAATCAGATACAGCTGTGTCTGTTTTTTCCTCCACTTCCTTCCCTCTCTTCTCACTATACCTGCCTTCCAATTTCTCCTCTTATTCCGTTCCTACACCACCTTTTTTCTCCACTTCCTCCATCTCTTCTTCCAATCAACTATTTTAGACTCTTTCTTTGCCTCACTCTTTTTTTTCCCTTTACCCAATTTCACTCACTACTTTTCTTTCCCTTCATGACTTTTAGTTTTCCTCTTCTTTGTATATTTCCCTTTCCCCTTCTATATCAAAGCTTTTCTCATTCTTGCTCTTTCACTCTCTCCCTCTTCATTTGATGGCTTAGTGGTTGGTGGTACAGACTCAGCTAGGTTGGAGCTGCTCTCACACTGTGAGATGTGCTGTTGTGTCGATGATACGAGCCATTTCACGCTAGACTGGTGATGTGTTTGAGATGGAAAGAGAGAGAGACAGAATATAGAGTAGAGTAGTGGGGAGTTCACTAAGCGCTATAGGAGCATGCAGACGATAGGGTACCACTAGAACTGTACCATCATAGATGGGTGAGAAAATGAGACGAGAAGGAAGTAACAAGAGGAGGCAAGGGGGGAGGAAAGAAACGAGAAAGGAGACACTAGAGTGGAAGTGAGGAAGTGAAAGGAAAGAAGAGGTGAGAAAGGAACAGAGGTGGGAGAAGATGAGTAGGAACAAGGAGGAGAGGATCATTTTCAAAATGCTCTGTTGTTACTGCACCACCTCCTACCACACTGCCATTTTCTCTCTGGAGTTCTCACTAAACCAGGACTCAGTTCATCTTGCCAGCTCCTTAGGTGGAAGTAAAGGTCACATCAAATAAAAAATGTGTGTATGTGTTGTTATATTGTGTTCCTGGGTGTATCCTTCCACTATCTATTGTTATATGTCAAATATAGGTCAGGAAATGCATTTTCTGAAAATCCAGGCCATTTTGTATTTCTAGTAAGTGTCAGGCAAGTGATTGTCCATCTTATAAACTTGAATCACCTCCCTAAAATTTCGCATCCAACACAAGTCTCATACAAAAATGTAAATATAAAATTATTTATAGCTTAAAAAATGCTTAGGATACACTCCCATCCACATGCATTTGCAGACTATTGAAAAGTTCCGGCAATAGTTCGGGTAAGGCTCTTTTCTGTTTCAACATGACAATACCTCTGTGCACAAAGCCAGCTCCATAAAGAAATTGTTTTCAGAGTGTGGTGTGGAAGAACTTGACTGGCCTGCAGAGCCCTGACCTCAAGCCTGTCCAACACCTTTGGGATAAACTTGAACGCAGATGGTGAGCCAGGCTTTATCAACCAACATGAGTGATAGACCTCTTGTGGAAAACTTGTATGCCCCTTCTCTTTTGGGGCATGCATTTGTGTAGAGTTTGTTTAGTTTCCCCAATATACAAACTGCACATTCTTAACTGCATTGGACAACATATACTAGACTGCTGTGTTTGGGTGTGTGGTCTTTAGTGTGGGCCAGTATCTGTCTTATTATGTTCTTGGATTTAAAACACATGGATATGGTGTTTGTTGAACATCCTTCTGAGTTTCTCAGATACTCCAGATACGTAAGCAATCACACTGTTATTGCATTTACTTTTCTTTTCCTCATCAGACTTGGACTTGGATGTCTCCAACGACCATAATGACAGCCAGGAGCACTAATAAACCAAGTGGTACTGATCATCTTGACAATGACCCTACAGAGGTTAAAAAGCTGGGATTCCCTGCCAGTCAGTCAGAAATTAAGAAACCTCTCTGATGAGAGGTAGAACACTACTGTATATTACAAGTACAAAAAATTTATTATTATTATTAAAACATATATATTTGAATATGTGAGTACCCTGGCCATGTTGCAGATCCTGAAGATTCGGTTGATGATGTCTTCGTCGATGTCTGCCGATATGAATTCGACTTGAATAGGACCATAGCAACATGAACTCTTTTCTGGCCAGTACTGCATACACAACTGTAGAAAACATAGGAGAGAAAGAGAGAGAGAGAGAGAGAAAGAGAGAGAGAGAGAATAGGAATGTGAAAGAGAAAAATAAAATTTACCCAGATTAAAAGGTAAATTCAATTGGATTTCCTTTCAAATAGCATAACAGCGCAAGTAATAATCGGAAGGATGTTTTCACAAAACCTTGAGTTCACTTCATTGATTATGAAGATTATCACCTCCATGGCTCAATGTGAATTCAATTTTCAGGTTTTTATACTTCCACACTAAGGCATGATAAAAGAGTTATCTACATTTGGAATATAATACTATATGCAAAGGCGACATGCTGGAAAATAACACATGAAAACAGGATTTTTACCATATTTTTCATCTACACACGTGCAAGACACACAAGAGAAATGATACTGCATATTTTTTTCAACCAGGTTTTTATTCACTTAAAATGCTAGACATGTATCAGGTGAGAATCCACTACTAATTCACAATCAACACGGGGTGATTGTGTTTGGTAACTAAATCTGTGTTAGAATGTGTTGATTACATGACTACATGTGGTGCTACAATTATGTGTTGCATTTTCCCATTCTATGCAACTAGTTTAAAATTTCTGATAACCCTGTAATCCTGTGTCATGTGGAATTCTGTTAATGACTGATTATATGCTGATTATTAATTTAGCATTCTAGATTTGTAAATGTATGTATTGCTGCAATACATAAAATTAATTAATTAATTAATACAATGCAATAAATTAGCAATTGACTTATATTTTTGTGTTTTTATTGTTTTTGGGTCAGCACAATGATTTTATGAAACTAACCTCAGTAGTCAGAGTGTACTTCCAAGGACCTTCAATACACATTTACATTCATAAAAAATTGTTTCTGGGTATATTGATCAAGCTCTGTGATGTTCCAGTCGATGTGTCAACTCCTGGCTGTCTGGTGTTTTTCTGAAACTAAGTTAGGCAACAGCAGGGAAAACAGATATGGGATAAATGTGTATCTGTGTGAGCATGTTTGTATGTTTGTACCTGTGCTGCATCCATCTCATTGAGCATTACAATCGAGGAGCAGTTGTAGTCGAACACCAGCCTCCAGAAGTCGCCCATGGTGTTTGGCAAAGGATGCTGGGTAACAATGAAGGCCGCTGGCTGTTTGTGGCTCTGGAGTGTTGAGATGGATCAGAATTAAATTACAGGAGCAAGCACAAGACAAATAAACAAGTGAACAGAGCAATGCTAATTCATCGAGGCATCTCTACAGCACTAGTAAGTAAAAAATAAAACTTTAAAGAACAGAAACCAACATTCTACAAAAAGAAAATAAACACAAACTGACATCCCAAAGTATACACTTACATCCATTAATGCAGCATTGATGTAATTGGAGCTCTCCCCATCCACAGATATGAGGAAAGGCAGGCATCGGTCTGCGGATAGAACATCCAAACTGCGGTTCTTGTCGTGGTTCCTGGGTAGCAAACCTACGCTGCAGTCCTCTGGACGGACTCTTGGGGTCACTATGTTTAGAGTCTGATAGAAACATAGTTTATTATTAACCTACTTAAGGAAAAAGTGAAGAACTTATTTTAACTTGTTTTTGAGTAAAGATTGTTCATGCTCCACAAAAAAAGATTAAACCAAGAGTGTGTGTGCTTACCTGGAACTCATCTTTAATCTGGCTGGAATTGGTCTGTGGGTCCAGTCTGCTAATGTTGTAGTAAATGGCTCTGAACTCACACACTGGTATGGCTGTATTCCCACATAGACATGCCTCCAAGATGGCGTCATGAACAAACACATATTGTTCCTGCAACATGGCAAAAGTAATTGATCAAATAAATGGTGTAATCAAATGTTCTTTTCTGGAAAAAAAGACAAATCTTTGGCCTTTGTGAATGTTGTTTGGTTAAGTTGCATCGCGTGTTTTTCAAGTGCCTGACAAACTCAAACATTTCATTGTGAACACAGTTTTTGTTTGCTTTTTGCATTTGAATTAATCATGCCTGTGTTCGTGCTCTCTCTGCAGCCTGAAAGTGAATAAAAAAAGAGTAGTGCCTTGCTCTGCAGTGTTTCTGAGCTCTGGATGAAGTGTGCTCTTTGTGCTCTAACTAGCTTGCTGGTAACAGCATCAGCCTCCATCAGCTACAGCAGCCACTGTGCATGTTAATTAACCTCTCTCTCTTTCTCTCACTTCTAGTTTTATCTAGTTATTTTACTTTTTATTTTTCTTTCTCCCATTTCTTCCTTGTTTTCACATCACATTTTGGTTTGTCTGCTTTCTCGCACATTTTCAATTTGCGTCTGACTTTATCACTCAGTCTCTTTCTATGTTAATTGTTGCCCTTGGAGTGGGGAGGAGGGCTTCAGAAGCATAACTGAAAACTGAAATTTCCTCTCCTGGCCATTACCTACTCTAGTGACATACAGATACACACAAATACAACAGCGCACACACACACAGACAGACAGACAGACAGACACACACACACACACACACACACACCCTTTCCCCTGTGCCTTTTAAAAGATTAATTGCTTTGTGTTGTGCGGAGCAGGATTATAATAGCGTCAAGCGGCTTCAACACTGACACAAATTGCTCCCACACATATTTAAAAGGCAGGGCAGGATGCATTTAGCTTGGTTTCAAGTGCAGACACACATACGCACAGACATACACACACATACATACGTAACTTGCTTTCATACCATTGCTGTCACATAAAAATACTCAAAGTGATGCCCCGGGTAACTTTCCTGATTCTAGCACTTCTGAAACCCATTCAAAAGTCAATTTCAGACTCCGAGCTTGAGCTGTCAGTCTGAAAATGAGGCTGTTTTTCTTTATTCCTAGTAAAGTTGACTTTTTGGATATGCAAGGTTTTCATCAGCAGTACAAATGGAATGCAGAGGCGGGATGGATTAGGTCAGCTTAAGGTAGCTTAGAGAAGAAATGAATACTTCTGTTCCAAAATGAAATACCAAACGTTTGAAGATGCAGATGTTTTAAAAATGATTGATAGTACAAAATTAGAACATATTATGACACTAAGTAAAGGATATAAAGTAACCTCTGTGTTTTAAGGATATAGAATAATAAACATCAAGAAATCATGTGGAAAACTGATCACTTTTGACTCTGCTTGTTCCTGTGGTGCAGATTGGTCTACTGATTAAGCTTGGCCATTGGATCTAATTTAAGACAGCAGTATGGTCATCACTGTATAAGTGCTAGTTAGCTCAGTTACTCAGTTGACTTAGCTCTATGTTTATTCATTTTAGCTGACGCTTTTATCTGAAGTGACTTACAATTGCTATATATGTCAGAGGTCGCACGCCTCTGGAATATCTTTTGGCAACTTACTATTTGGAAAACCTCAAGAATAATGCAAAAACAAACTTTCAGTGTGAATGCGTTTGTGTATGTGTTAATATATGTTTGTGTGTGCATGTCACAATATATTCCTTACCATGAGCTGAGAGCTGCAACACATTTACACAAAGTATCCTTAGTCTGTGTGTGTTTGAATGTGTGTATGTGCGTGTGTTTGGTTTAGACAGTTTGTGTATACTGTATATGTGTGTTTGCACTAGCTTCATCTATTATTCAGGGGATGTTTAATATTGATAAACTGATTGGGATGGATGATATAAGACTGCAAGAAGAACTGAGAAACTCTCTCTTTTTATGCTCCTGCTTCTCATACTCAACTACAGACAGCAAATACTTCTTGCTATAAAGCTTTTCATTACGTTTTGCTACCATTTTAATATCATAATATATACAATAATTATAAGCTACTGATGATTTCCTCTTACTTTAATTGGAAGTTTACATACTTCATTGTAAAAAAAAAAGAAACGAGTGTGCATGTCGGATGAGCGTAATGCAAATTTACACCAACCTCTGTCTGGACCATGTTGACTCGTTGTGATCTCAGCTCTCGTATGCAGTTGAAAATGTCCACCACGCCTTCATTTTCTGCCATGTCCAACATAATGTCCACTGCAATGAAGCAGCCCGTCCTTCCTGCACCAGCACTGTAGAAACAAATAATCAACCACACTATTGACTATCTAATAAATGTTACTACTACAACTTCTCAGTCCTTGGCTAGGCCTATGATTTTTTTTCGTTTTTATTATTTATTTGAGTTATTGACTGTCTACAGGCCAAATTGCCCTCTAACATTAAACCTTTTACACTAACATTATGATATTATGTGATTGTGACAATCACTGATTTTTATTTATTTATATAGGTTTAATACACTTAATGGAGGAATAATAATATTACACAACTCCCATCTTCACTACGTAGTTATTCACCAAAAAAGTTGTCAGGAAATGTAAACATATTTTCAGTATTTGAACAAACAACCCATGCTATTTTTCTACTGATCAGAACAGTCTGTAAATACTGATAGGTGTCACATTTTCCCATTAGGTGTCATATTATATTCAGGAAATGTTGCAAACCCTTAACACTTCAGTGATTGTCTGAGAAAAACTGATGGCCTATGTGGTGTTTGAAATAAACATAGTTGAGTTTGTGGGTGGAGTCTCTCTCGGTCTCTCTCTTACTCACACACACAAACATGTACAGACTTTAATACCGCATGTCAGGTGTTAAAGCGACACATCCTGAACTGTAATGCCCAGAGAGAAAAGACGGACAGATATATGGATGAATTGAATGAGCAAGGGAGAGACGCGCAGAGAGAGGGAATGCTGTGAAGAGGTTAGTGATTGGGAGTGATAGAAGTGGTCGTCACAGGGGAGAGATCAAGGGAAAAGGAATGGATGGAGAGGGAACTGAGAGGATAAGGTATGGAGGGACTGGAAGAGGGAGGGGAAAAACCTATCTTTCACTTTGCAATCCCCCTGACAGTTCCCAGAGACAGCTAGAGAGAGGGATAGAGAGAGATAAACATAAGGAGAGAGGGGAGGGAGATAAGAGCAGAGAGAGAAGGAAAGATAGAAGGGAGAAAGAGAGAGAAAAGGAAGGAGCGCCTTGGCAGATTACCTGTCAACCTCTGTGATTAATGTTGAGACCAGAATACTGCTGGGCCCCTGTGTGCATGTGCATGCGTGTATATGTCTGTTTCAAAGCATCATGACACAGGCCAATAGCGTCAGAGCGCCCCCGGAAATTGGAAGTGACTGCCATAACTTCCTGCCTGTCTGTCCACATACTTTTACTATAGCTGTCTGTTTACATGTCTGCTCACCTCGTTTGACTGTCCATTGCTTTCTTCCACATACTGTCTATGTGTATACTTCTTTTTTTTATCTAATTACCCATCTGTCTTTGTCCTTGTGTATGTTTTTGTATGTTCCATTGAAGCAATTGGAGGCCATGAGACAAGGTAATGCTATATTTAGGTGCACCACTTTGTTCCTTTGCTTTTGAAGGCTTTTAAAAGTTGTCACATAAAAAAATTGTTACTACTGATTAAGTAACAATAACTAAGTAAGTTAAGTAAGTTTTTCTGAAAAATTTGGAATATCCAAATTCCTATGCACTGCGGTCCACAGATTATTAGTTGAAAACCCAGCGAGGGTATAAAAACATGTAATGTCATTTATTTTGTTCCAACTCGACAATTAAATTTTATTTAACCATGCCAGTATTCTTTTCAAAAAACTATTTAGTTAGCTAAATTTAACAAGACTATAAAGTCAGATCAGTACGGCAGATCAGAAACAGAACAGTCAAATGGGTCATTTTGGAAGTCGCTGACAAACAACCACTTTTACTGTTTAGGTATATGGACATGCAAAATCAACTTAGGTAAAAAATCACAGTGAACAAATTACCTTATTAATTTATTGTGACAGCCATTTATTATCACAATGTAATAGAGCTAAGAGCAGAGACTTTGTTGAAAACTCTGACTTTTTGACACATTCAAGTGCTTCTGAGAGACTCTGAGAATTTCTAGGGGACAACCCTGTCTCCTAGATGTTCCATTTATACACTACATATCAAGACAATGTTTTAGCAAAATATTTCTTTATATATTTTTAGGTAAGTGTAATTGCTGTCTGGATTAAGTTCAGTGACAACTTTTTTTAACTAATAAAGGAAGTTGCTATGTTTTGCATGGGATGCAAGTTTTGGGGAAGTGATCAGAGTGGTTGGTGTATGCATACTGAGCACTTGTTATAGGTTGTGATTTTGATTACATGTTATTAAAAGACATGTCTTCTCTAGTGCTTCATGTCACTGCATACTTTGAGTATTTAACAAAGATGATGATCTTTTCCTAACCTGGAACATGTGGTGTAAACAAAAATACATTTTTGTAGTTAGTTTTTTAGTTAATCATGCTTTAGTTGTATTGAAAGTGTAGATATACTGACTGGGATGTGCGGCAAAAAATGCAATATATTGTTTTTTAAATACGTACAATTCGGGACTCAGCAGAAACCTCTATTTAAAACATTTCCTCATTACATTGATGAAAAAACAGCATTCTGCTGTTCCAGATTAGTATTATATGTGATTTCTAGGAGATAGGTTTGGAATAGCAACATTCTCAATGTAAGACGTAGCTGATATTTAAACACTAGTGACATTTACATAAAAAGAACACACTAGATAATGGGCAGAAACATGCAAAGAAACTAGTTGCAAGAATGGAGCACTTGGAAATGGGTATGTTAACTGTATGAGGGTCCTTTGTCTCTACCAAGCACTATATGGCAGGTTAGGGGTTTAATACCCTGTGTTGTCACCAATTCAAAGCTATGTGTTGCATTATGGTGAAACAACAATGGAATACATTCATTTCATATGTTCATGTCAATATTAAGAATCTACTCCAAAGATTTTTTCATAGCTTTTCAAAGGGCTGACCTTTTAAAGCTTGTGCCTGCTGACAACTTGACCCCAGAGTTGAACTGTTATGTCCCTTTGAGAACAGAACATCAAGGTTAAATATACTGTTGCCATGGGGATCTTAAAACTGTCACTTTTTTTTCTTCCTCTATTCCTGGTGGATGATGGTGGTGTGGATGAAAGTCAGGTGGAAGGTGCATTTCCTTTTTTTTCTCCTCTCCGTTCCATACGTTTTAAAGGTTAACACTATCTAATTTATATACAAGGCGAATAGTGTGTGTGTTTGTGTATGTGTGTGTGTGTGTGTTTGTATAATCATATTGGCACTGATAACCTGTGGGATTGAGAGGGAAACATGAATCGGAGAAAAGGAATAAGAAAAACAGAGTGTCAGAGGAAAGGCTGACAGAGAAAGAAAGAAGGAGATTTTCAGGGTTGTTATCAGGTCTGTTTATTTCTTTCTGCCATTCTCTGTAAGAAATATCTTTTGAATGAGGTACCTGTTCAGTGATCTAGCCAACAACTCCACTCCTCCAAAACAAACAACAAAATATGTTTGTCATTGCACATACAGTGTAACAGTTACTTATCTATCTCCACAAACAGATCATTTGTCAGTGCCTTCCATAACGTTTCAAATGACCGTTCATTTATCTCACTGTTTTCTGATCTGCTACTGCTGTTTAGTTTTGTAAGAGCGCAAAAAAACTACTTAGTTAAGGTTTGAGTGGCCATGGTTACAAGAACTACATTGTGAAGGTTAAAGAATGATGAATGATGAAAAAATGATTGTTCTTATGTAGTATGTATGATGCTTTGGCGATATTGATGTTACACATTCATGCCAATAAAGCTATTTTGAATTGAATTGAATTGAATTGAATGATTGTGGTCATCGTCAAAATAATCCAATGTTGACAGGAAATGAGCTGTGGTTATCTTGTGGCCAATGCACACTGTTTGTTGACCTATTCATCCAACCTGACCTTTTGTGTCACTAATAACAATGGCATAGTAATTCTGCCTCTGTTCCTGACAGATATGTGTCACTGTTACACTGTTATGTGTAAGTACTCTATGTGCATGTGTGTTTGTCTGTCTTTATGTATGTATGAGGGTGGGTGGTTATAGAACAACACATACTGCCAAGGATTTAATCTTGGAACTATTAAGTCAATAACATGCTCGTTTCACGCAAACCCAAACCAAAACCAAAACCAAAACCAACACTCCCTGTGCTTATTTATTTGGTTTGTGTTATACTGGCCTGGCAAAATCCTTTGCTCTCTTGCCATGCTGGTGAAAGGCAAGAGCCAAGAGCTGTATAACTGAGCGAGTGGCTGTGTTTGTTTGTCCTTGTCTGGTCTGTGCAGCCACTGACCAATAGGATCAGGGAATTAGGTTTATTTTCTGTACAAAACCTGTGTGTAGGTGTGCGTCTGTGTTCTTACCTGCAGTGTGCCACTATAGGCCCAGCATCAGGCGGGTTGAGGAACTTGACTTGTCGTATGAAGCCAAGCAGTCCAGTGGCATAACAAGGAACTCCATGGTCTGGCCAGCTAGTGAAATGAAACTGACGGAGTTCCCGGATCTCATGATGACCCTTCTGAAAAACACACGGGAGAGAAACCTAAGTTGCAAATTTTACCATGGCTATTGCTGAAAACGTATGGAAGATTTTATTGGACTTTAATATTTGTAACCCACAGAAAACAATCCACAAATGTATGATGCAAAGATTTCACTATCTACAAATATGTATTTTTACATTTGTGATGTGTAAAATCATATCCACGAGTGACTTCTAAACAAATTTAACATGACCCACAAATTGACAGAAAGCAATCTGCAAATGTGCAAAAACTGTTTTGTGGGTAGAAGTCACTCTGTATTTTTGTGGATATGATTTTACACATCACAGATGTAAAAATACATATTTGTGGATAGTGAAATATTTGCGCATCATAGTCTACATTTGTGGATTGTTTTCTGTGGGTTACAAATGACAAAGTCCAATAAAATCTTCCATAAAAACATTTCTGAATTCTGCCATTTTGTCTCTTGATGATGACAAATGCATGGATCTCACAAATCTTAGCATGGCCCTTTTGGGTAAGACTGACAAGAAGACATATCATGGTTCAGCAGCTTAATTTACAGCAGGGATTTCAAGAATCTAGGGGCCATGCTGCCTCTTTGGCTTCAGATGGAAAATAAATCAATCTTGTGGATGTCAAGATGGCACTTGGGGCCACTTCTGGGAATGAGAGACAGGAAGACTTATCTTGGCTCATTTGCCTAATTTACAGAGGAGATTTGAGGAAACCGATGGCCATTTTGGCTCCAAAAAAAAGATTAATTGATTTCACAAATCTCATGATGGTCCTTTTGGGAAAGACTTACAGGAGGAAATGCCATGGTTCAGTTAAGATGCACAATTTACACTGATATTTTACATATCTGACAGTTATTTTGGCTCATTTCTGTATGCATTTTAGCATTTTAAGACATCACAAGTACTCACAGATATCAGGAAGCTTCAAAATACTGTTTTCTTACAACTCAGAAAAAAATAGGCAATGGAATCTGCATTTATTAAACAATTAAATTTTTTTGAGAAAAGTAGAATTTTATGATGTACCAAAATACATTCACTTCAACAGTAGAGCTAAGGAAACTGCTCGCTGAAAATAAAGACTTTTAAATACCAAGTTAAAGAATAAATTAGGCTCCACACCACTTATTTTGGCTATTCTTCGAAAGAGATACAGAAAGAGACATTTTGGTATATAACAATGGAGATTAAAGCAAAATGAGATGGCAACAAGCATCCAATGTGGCAGTCCACGAGATAGCATCTTGACATTTTAATGATGAACTTTAGAGAAACAAAGGGTTGGTAAATACTTTCCTGTCTAACAATGGGGATAGTATTAAGAAACTGAAGATAAGTTATGATGCTAAATAGAAGGCAATTAAGTCTTACATCAGAGTGCCTCCCTGGGACAAAGACATAATGTCTCAAAAATGAGGTGGCAGCATATTGTACTAAGCGGCTGAAGACATACAAAAACTTCTGTTCTGCATCACTAGAGATGCTGCACTCCATGGTGAAAGTCAGAAAATTTAAAGACATGATTAGTCTACTTTTTTTTCAATTAGTAATAATTTTATGAACTAGGGATAAAATGGTCATTTATGTGATTTTCTCAGCCCAGTGAATGATATTGTTCCCCATGAAAAAAATAGGAAGATTGAATTTGATCAACATGGTGAAACTTGAGTGATTGTTTTGATTATGGTGTGTCTAATTTCAATGAAAGTTTGTTTTTTCTCTTATCCATGACTAAATAATTAAATATACCCTTGATGGCTGTGGCTTAGATGGTAGAGTGGCTCATCTAGTTATTGGGGATTCGATTCCTAGCACATCCCAGTCCACTTGAGTGGGCCAAATTGCTCCAGATGGCTGTGTCATCAAGTGTGTTTGTTTGGGTCAGCTTAGTATCAAGTGAGTGCTTTGGATAGAAAGCACTGTATTGATGAGCAGTTGGTACCTTGATTGACAGTGACGACAGCCTCCGCCATCAGTGTATGACTGTGTGTGTAGGCTATGTGTTGTAATACACAGTAGACAGTAGACCAGAAAATCGCTCCATTTACAAGCTCCATCCAAGTCCATTTACAATGACACACCTTGAAAATAAGCTTAGTCTTAGGGCTAAGAGGACTTGCTTCAAGTTCCCTGGACTTTGTATAGGTTATGTATGACCCTGTCTTCAGCTTGCAGTGGTGATATTTTCCTCCACAACACTACATGCTTCTGCTTTAATAATTAAAACCATTCTATTCCATTATACTGTTCTAAACTTAATGGAGTTTAAATGGAGGGACCCATTTCCTCTTCAGTTCAGTTTACTCTCTAAGAATAGAACTGGAAGGTAACTGTTATTATTGCAGCTCCCATTCTGGCTCTGGTAGATAGACAAGGTTGTAGTGAATTGTTTGTCTTGGCAGACTGCCTTATGATAACCTGAGAAGCAAGGATAACACAAGGAGGAGAAAAATGGGGGAGGGGTCAAGAAACAGACTGTGAGTGGGTAGGGGGAGAGGGGTCAATGACGAGGGTGGGTAATGAGAGATAAAGTGAGACAGAGGAAATGTGGTTTTGAGAAGGATTAAGTGACAGATGTGACAAAGAAAAAGGAGACAGAGGAGAGGAGAGAACCAGACAAACAAAGAGAATGAGAGAAAGGTGGGAGCAAAGAGGAGAAAAATCAAACCCAGAAAACCACGAGGTGATTTGATAACTTGACTTCCAATTGATTTGCTCTCTTGTGATGTTGAAATTACTTCTCTAAATCGATAGACGGCAGCCAGGGCCTCCATGACTGGTCGGTGAAAAAAAACCCAAAACAACAACAACAACATTAAGGTGCTTGACATGATGGAAATAGGTGATGGAATACTGTAGAACCTTTCTTCACTATGAAAGTGGAAAATGATCTCTGGTGCTTTTTACGCCGTTCTTTAAATGTTACACTTCTCAAAACAAATTTTCAATGAATGACTGACAAATAACATTTTATTGTTCTGTAGTCAACATTCATTCTCAAAATGCATTTGCAGATTTTGGTTTTAAAAGTAAGAGCCAGACAAACATTCTCCATAGTCCTATTACTTGTCCTGTTGTTCTTTGTCTTATCAGAAAATGCACATTGTTTTAGTAGTAAAGCTTCTCATGACTATTTTTTAAATGCTTTATCTCACAAATACAGGTACAAACCTCTCTGACTACCTTTCAGAGAGGTTACTTTTTTACTAGATCAGCAGTATGTTTTATAAAGTCGGCAAAAAGACACAGAATTTGTCTTCTGGACTTTACCACCCGTGATTCCATTAACAGCAGCACATGTGCGCCACATGTGGAGTAAGCTTGGTAATGATGTAGCCTATGAAAACAAAACCAACGTTGTAGAATGACATCTGCATTGGTGTGTTCGCTGTCACTTTACCTGGACTATGCTTGTCAAATATCCACTGTGTCTGTGTCTCGTAACGTAATAGATAACAACTCTATTTGTGTTTCTCTGCTAAATGCTAAAATGGGTCGCCACCGTTAATATACCTGGGCGGCCCGTCCAAATAAAGCATGTGTAGGAATCGCTGCATACAGTAGACATACTCTGTTTTAACATATTATTGTTATTATTGGGGTGGCTGTGACCCAGGGGGTAGAGCAACAGTCAAATTATCGGAAGGTTGGTGGTTCGATTCTCAGCTTCCCCAGTCTGCATGTTGAAGTGTCCTTCGGCAAGACACTGACCCCAAATGTCTCCTGATGGTTGTTCCATTGATGTGAATGAGTTAATTTCCGTTTCTGGTGATAATTTTGCAACTTAGCCTTTGCTCATCAGTCTATGAATGTGTCTGAATGGGCTGAATGTCAGCACTTTGAGTGGTTGGAAAGACTTGAAAGGCGCTATACAAATACAGACCATTTACCATTTACCATTATTATGTTATTAGGGCCCGAGCAGGAAACATTTGAGGTCCTTATTGAAACTGAAGGAATTTCTTTCTGCTAATACAGCACATAAAACATGCTAAAATACTAACAAAACTTTGCACAAAATTCTCGCAAAAAATGTACGTATAATATTTTTTTTTGTGCATGGGCGTGGCAAAATGGCTCACAGTCCTATTACAAGTCCTTGAGACCCATGGGAAGATCCATGAGAAGCACATATTGATTGTTGTGGTAAAGGAAAAGAGTAAAAAAAAAAAAAATCATTATCTGACAACAAAACAGAATCCATGACCTTTATCTCGAAACCTTAACTAAGACAGACTAACTGTGCTGTGTTGCTCTATTAAGTTTGTCTTACTCAGACTTTGTAGTTAAAGGACAACTGTTTTCTGGGGGAAAATATGGTTTGATTGCCAGGTGCTGCTTAAGCACAGCCTCCCCGTTCATTTCAGTGAGAGCACTACTTTGTATTACTCAAACAGGACCTTCCTCATTTGTATTTCATCTTCTCACAACAACCTAGCCCAAATAAAGAAAGAGACTGCCTATTCTTATTCACATCCACATCTGAACACAGTCAGAGAGGTGGTGAGGATTTTAAGCATTGTAAACAGTTAGACAAATAGCGTTTCAACCCACTTCAGGCAGGGTTTTTCCAGTTTGACATAAACTTGTTATACACATCTCTCAAACCATCTGTCTAATCTGTCTAATATGTGTATGTGATGTGGTCTTCAAAGTTGTCTTTTTTGGCCAGTAGATTTGTGTACACGCATGCAATTGTTTGGTTTCTCCAGATCTGAGCGCCATAGAGCAGATTACTCTTCTGCTGTTTTGGATGTGGTCCATCGGGTGAACTAAGCCCTGTTGAAGTTTCTTGTTGGGTCCAAACAATACTGAGAAACTGCGTTTAGTACAAATTCTAAAAAATGTATTTTACATTCTACATATTGGACTAAAAGGCTGTGCTTTTTTTTGTGCCAGGTGTTTGTCTGGGATTCTGGGACGACCTGCTTTCAGGATCTGGATAAGATCAGATCAGGAAAATCACTGTCTAACTGTGGTGGATATGATCATGATGATATGATCATGTGGATTATATGACTCAGACACTGCTCTGTGTGAGTGGGATTTCGGTTCATTTCAGTACTGAGTTTCACATTGGAAATGGAAAATTATGTTACCATCCACTCAGACATGAATGTCTGAAATGTCTTGGGATATGTCTGTTTTTTGTTTGTTTCTCTCTCTCTCACACATACACACGCACGCACGCACGCACGCACGCACACACACAAACGCACATGCAGATTTTCTTCTTTCTTTGATTCTTACTTTCTTGTCCTCAGTGCTTGGTTAATCTCCTTGAATGTGCCATTAATAAACCTTTTCATTAAGATCCTGTTCTCATTATTCCCTGCAATTAAAGCTATTTAACTGTCGTGGAGAACCTGAATATACTCTCTCTCCCCCTCTGTCTTACTTTCTCTTTGTTCTTCAAATTCATCACACACACACACACACACACACACACACACACACACACACAAACACACAAACACACAGTCACAGAACACACTGTAGTTTAAAGATGGAGAATTTTGTGTGTGTCTGGTGTGTGTTTGTACATATTAATGCATACTGCAGAATGACAGGCATTTTAAAATCTGCTTTCCTTTGAATGTTAAAGTACTCATGCACACACAGAAACACACACATAGAGGTGGTATGGATTAATGGCTTGCTAAACGAGCTGACAGCGTGGACTTGAAGACTTGTCTTCATAAGCTGCTTTTGCACAAGTGAAGGGGGAAGGAAATACAGGATGGAGGAAAACGGGAGAGTGAGACAAAACGAGGCAGGAAAAGAGCAACATTTTAGGTATTACAGGTGTCTGATAATAAATGCGTATTATATTTGTACATTAATGTAAGAATTAGTCGTTATCGACTACAATGAAGAATTGCCACTATTGACTATTTTTTTGTGATTTTAGATACTACAGGATTTGAATGTAGCAGTGTACTGTATACTTCTCTGACAACACTACACTGTTTCTAATAATTAAATATAAGTCTTAAATATATCCACTGAAATCATTACCCGGAACAAAAAAGAAAGAGAAGTAGAATGTTAAACGGGGGGGGGTTAAGAGAGAAACAATGGATATAACATAGAAAGGCAAAGTAATGGATCTTTTTCTCTTATTGTGAAGTAGTCCTGCTGTTTTTCCATTCACAGAGCACTGGAGAACAGTATCACAGCAAGGATGGTACATTGTTCCACTTGCACTTTTTGTCTTTTCCCTCCTGCCTGATTACAAGGGCCGCAATTATGCTTTCAATCTTCCTCTTAAACACCGAGAAACAAACAAGTAACACTGCTTGCTTCCCTCAATGAAATGAATGTAATGGTAATCCAGGTTTTGGGTTTACAGAAAATGGAAGTGATAAGTAACATGTAGCAATGAGGGTAACTGAGCATCTACAGGGCATGAGAGGGTTTTAAATCCCATCTGAGGTCTTGTGGGAAGTATTCTGTAAACCAGACCAACAATATATTGATATAACATCAAAGTTTGTCACATTTATTTACCACTTTTGTGGGGGGGAATAATTGAAATCCATATGACATATTGGGGTCCCTATATTATAAACAGATGCATTAAAAATTCAAGGTCTCCGTTTGTTTTCTGGTTGATGATGTTTACTCGTTTACCTTCTGGACAGTGAATGTCCGTATGACGTATTCAGCAAGTGGTTCTGTTTCTATCAGGGTCACCTTGATGTCTCCATAAACCTCTGTCTCATCCGGCCAGTAACGAACACACTTCACCTGGAAAAGACCATTTACATTCTTACAATGTAGTTAAATTTGCATGCTGGTTATTATCACCGAAAGAGCATTAACAGAGTGGGATGAAGCAGAAGTCAAGATGATCACCAGGGAAAATGTAATAGATTAATAATAGACATTTATTATTTGACATTTGAAAGTTACTGATTTGAAATTACTGGATAACATTGTAAAGTCACATAAGCTCCCACTAAAGAAAAGCCAAGGCTGTATTATTGTGGAGCCAGATGTGATAATACCACTTGTAATTAGACTACACATTTGGATAGAGATATTTGGAGTGATGAAATATTTTGGTTACAAATCTGTTGGAATTTTATTTGGTTTACTGCCCCCAGCTCCACTTTATTTTACTATCTTTACCTGTCTTGACCAGTGAAATATCTGATTCCACCTTCTCAGAATCCAGCAAAGCAGGGATAGGCGTGATGTTCTTATATGAGCACATAAACTCCCCAGGAAGGACATGTTGCTGGATAGGTTGGAGTACAAAGTATCTGACTAAACTGGGGACCAGGGTTCACCATCCCCACCAACAATCAGTTTTATTTGTTTCTGGTTTTCTTCTTTACATGCTTTTATGTTTTGAGTTACAGTCGGCTTTCTCCATCAAGTTGATTTCTTAAACAATGTGTAAACAAGAAATTTGGTTCTCATGATCTGTGGTAGGGGATTAGAGAATACCCAACCAGATTTCTCCTGGAGAACGCTGACTTCTTGGACATGTACACAGGTAACAAAGTTTAAAATTGACTGACACAGCATCTTCTGTCATTAATGCAGTTCTTAAAAGCGAGCTGCCGTTTCAGAAAGGTTTGGGTAACTTGGTGACTTAAGTCAAAACACATAAAGGTCCGCTGAAACCAAGTACTTTAATTGACTAAACTAAACTTTTACTTTACATTTTTGGAACTCATATGAGTCTGTTTGGAATGTGATAACAAGATATATATATATAAATGTTTAGACATAGGAACTTGTCTAGCAGTTCAAACTTTTGCTCTCTCGATAACTGTTATACTTATCCATGGTTCTGACCTAGGTATACTTTTATAAACTAGATTTGCAACTTTACTGGGGTATTATGAAATGGTCTGCCATAAGATATCATTCTATTTTTGATTGGACTGTAACTGTAATAAAGACAAAAAAACTTGAATTAATGACTTATGTAACTGTATACCTCTACGGTTATTAGATCTCTTCATCAAACACACATAAACACATTTTGTAATCTCTTGGATGATGAACTCACCCTGCCCACCTCCACTAGGTTGGTAACCATGACGATAGAGGCTGAGTTTTCCTGCCAGACCATCCTCCAGAAATCTCTCACCGTTTCCTGCATGGGCCCTGACACACCCACATAAATTAGAGACATATGCATACTGATACACACAAACAGAGCACATGCACACAGGTGTATGAATGTATAAACACACATTCACTCCAACGTCACGTAAAAATCACGTCACCACTGAAAGCACATACTGACTACCACGGCGCACATGGAAACATACACACATAAACAGGGAAACACACGTGTGCACACACACTTGCACTCACACACTATCAATCCCAGATAGTGGTTCGGGGGTTTGAGGTAATGGGGTCTTAAATTTGTCAGGGGGATTTTATACGGCAGTTTAGATTTAGGAGGTTGTGGTAATAGCCTTCCAGCCCGGAAGGACGACATTTACCAGGTGGCTGACACACACACACTCACACACACTCACACACACACACAAACACACACTTGTATCGGCACAAATGTAGAATCACACATACAGCCTTCTCACACACACTCATCATGTTAGTTTAATTACCTTGTGTGGCGATGTAATGTCTGGGTCTATGGTACCCCTATGAGACAGAAAAAAAAGTGAAGCATAAAACAATGTCTCCATACTTTCGTCATCTCCCTCTTAATCTAACCATAGTCTAACTGTCTTTCCTTTAAATTGTCCTCATTTTCTCTATTTTAGTATGTTACTTTTCCTGTTCCCTCACTTTATTATTCTTTTCTTTCTTTCTTTATTCCATCTTCTCTTTCTAATTTTCATCTTTTCCTTTCTCTTTCTTTCTTTTCCCAGGCTATGCACTTTTCTGTGTCTTCCCAAAAGGATAAAATATTATATTGCAATTCAAAATCAACATATAAACTCCCTACAACCAATTGTAAAAGTTTGTCTCCTTTCATTCACTTCTAGCTTTGTCCCATTTTACTTTGTTCATTTCTACATCTGTTGGTCTCACAGCCTGCTTCTCTTGTTCCTTCTTAATCCATCTTTTCCTCTCTCTTACATCATTTATTCCTCCCTTTCTCCTGCTGAAGTGAGTCCTTACTTTTTCTCCTTTTTTAATTATCCCCTCCTCTTTCACTTGTTTCCTTCTTACTCAGCCTTTCAATCAATTTCTGCTTCCCTTTATGTCCACCTTCCTCCCTCCTTTCCTCTCTTTCTATCTTGCTTTTTCTCATCCCTTCTATCAATCAAGCAGATGGACTAACTTATTCCTTCTTCCTTCTCACTTCAGTTTCGTCCTCCCATCCTTTTTCCCTGTTAATATTTCCCATTTCCCTCCCAGTCCCTTCACTCCACACAGAGGCATAACTGAAGGTCGTTTTCTAAATAAACATCAAATAAAATAATAGCAGGATCTTAATTTTTCCACTATAGGACAGATGAAAAGCGCATGGCTCTCTCCCCTTGTCCTTGCACACCCCTCCTCACACCCAATGCCTTCCAATGAGATGGATAACCTTGTTGATATAAAAACACGTCCCTTTCACATTGTCATTAAGACGCTATGAGTATCTTCACTGAGGAGATGTATTGTTTTGGTTTAGTTTTCCAATTCCCCCCTCCTCTTCTTGAAAAAAACAATCTTGTTTGTGGAGACTGATTAAAAATAAGCATTATAATAATTCATTAAGACTACCATTATAACAGTCATCTGTGAGCGAGAGATTAAAGTGATAAGCGAAGCACTTAGAGAAGAGGAGGAGGAGGAAACAAATGGATGGATGGGAAAGGTAGGGAGAGCAGGACAACAGTGGGAATGTGGGACAGAGTTAATAAGGGAAAAGGGTATTGAAGGCAGACAGCTTAATGGGAGGAAAAAAGAATCATTCTAGTATTCTGATGATTTTACCAGCAACCAGATTTATTTATGTATTTATTTAAGAAATGCAGCTCAGATGGCTCCATTTGTTGCAGTATCCTGAGTGAGTGTATATGTGTGAGGGTTGATGCATGTGAATATGTGATATCTCTTTTAGTTTTCTCCAGTGTTGAAACATCTTTGCCCTTGCATTGTCATACAACTTTCTTCTCTGTTTATACTCTTCCGACCTTTCCTCTTTGGCTGTTCTTCTGCCATCTGTACCTCTTCACAGTGCCTGAAAACCAGCACATTCGAATGTGCTGGTGTATAGAACTGTCTCTCACACTGCCTCCACCCATCATTCCTGTGCATGAGCAATAATGCCATCTGTTGCTGTGCAGGAAACCTAGATTATTTTAAGAGAGCTAATCAACCATTTGGAAATATTCTTTGAATTTAACAAAGTGTATCAGATTACAATCTATCTACTATCCCTTTCAAAGTATAAATGTGTGAGTGTGTTTGTGTGAATGTATAAACACTTACATCAATATAATTGGCGTTGATGTAGTCAGAATGGGGGTCTCCATCGAGCAGCTGCAGTCGGACCCTGGTGTGATCATCTGAGGGGTCAGATAGCACAAAAATACAACAGGCCTAAAGTTACATTTACCCACAGATCGGAGCAGCTAACTGACTGGGTGGGGGAACTAATCAACTAACCAGGCCCAAAGTTATGAGACCTACCAAGTAACCTGCAGTCCTGCAAATTATGACTATCAAAGCAATGTCTTGGTTGAGCATATACAGTACTTCACTTTTATCCATGAATTTATAATAAATATTATTTGCATAAGTCTGGATGATGGGGCAAACACTGTTTCCATAATGAGCTGCCTTTATCAGCAAATACTAGTTTATATACTGCCAAATAATCCATAATCTTGCAACAGTGTGACCACAAATTGAAACTCTTTGATTATTGTCTCTATTTTAATTCCAGTTACTCTTAAATACTTGAAACCCTTTGCATAGTCTTCCTGGTGACTCCCAAGAAGAGATACTCCGCAATTACAACAATATGTTCCACTCTACCTTGAAGCTGTTTATGTCCACTGGTTATTTGCAGAAATCAGACGAATGTCAACATGGTTTAAAACTGCATCTTCTTCTCCCTTGTTGTTTTAAATTCAAAGAACATACTTTTGCTTGGATGTTTTAGAGGTTTAAAATCCCATGTTGGATAATTGACAAGGAAGGTGACTGAAGTAGTGCACACAAAAGAAATGTAAAATTACCTTAATAATTGTAATGAATCAACGATCTTGCATATTACCACTGAAAAAAGGATAATAAATACTACACATGACCTGTTTTAAATAACAGATGATATCTATGAGCATTTCACATAGCACAACCATGGATCAGTGGTGAGAGCCATTGTCAAACTACACGTCATCAAAATTAAATATGCTTTTCCCCTTTCCTCTGAATTTCATTTAGTTTGTTTGGAGCTCTAATAGCCATCCACAGCATTAGGACCGTATGTGGATGATTATGGTTAATGACAGACAGTGATTTGGTTTAGTCACAACGGCAGATGATTGCAAATGAAGCAGACATGATTTAATCTGATTATCTATGTTTTTCTCTCTTATTCTCATCATTTGTCTTTCTTGCACTGATATTCATACTTAATTTTTTTCATTTTCTGAGACATATTCAAATTTTTGGAAAAAGAATTTGAGAGATTGAAGTCAACAGCAGAGAGGAGGTGGGTGAATGAGAGATGAAATGAAGAAAACGAGAAGAGGGGAGTAAGAAAGAAGTAAAAAGATGAGGTGGAGCAGAAGTTGGCAAGTATAAGGTTGGATGAGGACAAAAGAGAATGAGTGCTAGGAGAAGGGGGGATGGGAAGAAAGAAACTGGCAACCGAGGGGAGAAATAAAAAAGGGATCACCTCTGTGTTTCTTTGAAGTCATTGAAATGCTAATGCATATGACTTTACTGATTGATGCAAAGCTACAGCGGGGTGGAGTGCTTAAAGCAAGTGCACAGTGAGCTGGCTGCGGTTAGCCTGCAAGCGAGTCTGCAGTGAAGACATCTGAACTGTGTTAGAAAATTAGATCAACATTTTTGCGCCAATGCTTCAGGTTTCTGCTTTTGAATAATTTTACCTCCTGAAATTCACAAGTAGGCATTTCAAAAGCTAATTATTCTCTGAAAATGTGTTTAGATGCAACAACACAACTGCCATGCCTATAGCTTTACACACACAATATAGCTAAAACATACTTTGTAGAAGCAGGATTTGTTTTTTTTACCCAATTTGAATCAAAACTCAAATTCATCTTCCTCAAAAAGAAACTGTGCCTCGGAAACAGAGCTTTTATGTGAGCATCTACTGTGTGGTCAATGACTCATACCTACAATTGTAACCCATTTCCTCTATGTTTATAGTGTGGGCTTGGGGGTAATCATTTTGTCAAGTAGGCGTTAACATTTTTGTTTTGGTGAATATCTTGAATAGATGTGTGAATTGTCTATTCATGGCTAGAACAAAAGGAGGCTTCCAGTGGAGACAAATGAATCAAAGTAGCAGAAAATTGCCAAGAACTCATTTTGAAAACGAGATCCTTTGGAACACCACTGAATATACCAATTCACAGATAAAGACCTTGAGATGTAGATAAAACATCTGTAAAAAGGTAACAGTGGATTTGAGATTAACAATGCTAACGCTATACTAGGATCACAACTTTTACAAACTGCATAATATTGGTATAGTATTAGTATTATACCATAGTATAGGATTAAATCGTATTATTAAAGTCAGTTGATTAAGTTAATAGTGTTATTAGGACATGGGTCTTCTTCAATTTAAGCCATAGCCTTTATTTTAATGTCATCTATCAAACATTATCTTTGGAGCTGAGCTGTTCACATCTGGTGTTATAAAGCATTTAACCAAACAAAACCAGATAGGCCTGGTTTGAACTTGGTCATGTAGCCTAACCCAAGAAGCTGACATTGCTGGTAAATAATGTGTTCTAGTTAAACCTATAGAGATGTCCTGTCCTTTGATTATAAATCAAATCTGTCATCATTTGTGTCATCCAAGAAGCTGACAATGCTGGTAAGTTTAGGCCTACATTAACTATAAATGAACAATTATGATGAGGTTTAAGAAATTTGCACGTTTAAGAATATAAGAAAGATTTATCGGGTCTTCTTTAAAAACAAGAGATGTTGTATCTCTGTCATATACAGTGAGGAAAATAAGTATTTGAACACCCTGCTATTTTGCAAGTTCTCCCACTTAGAAATCATGGAGGGGTCTGAAATTGTCATCGTAGGTGCATGTCCACTGTGAGAGACATAATCTAAAAAAAAAAAATCCAGAAATCACAATGTATGATTTTTTAACTATTTATTTGTATGATACAGCTGCACCTGAGAAAATCAATGTTAGAATTCTGACTCTCAAAGACCTGTTAGTCTGCCTTCAAAATGTCCACCTCCACTCCATTTATTATCCTAAATTAGATGCACCTGTTTGAGGTCGTTAGCTGCATAAAGACACCTGTCCACCCCATACAATCAGTAAGAATCCAACTACTAACATGGTCAAGACCAAAGAGCTGTCCAAAGACACTAGAGACAAACTTGTACACCTCCACAAGGCTGGAAAGGGCTACGGGGAAATTGCCAAGCAGCTTGGTGAAAAAAGGTCCACTGTTGGAGCAATCATTAGAAAATGGAAGAAGCTAAACATGACTGTCAATCTCCCTCTGACTGGGGCTCCATGCAAGATCTCACCTCGTGGGGTCTCAATGATCCTAAGAAAGGTGAGAAATCAGCCCAGAACTACACGGGAGGAGCTGGTCAATGACCTGAAAAGAGCTGGGACCACCGTTTCCAAGGTTACTGTTGGTAATTCACGTTTACCAACAGTAAAAAGTAGACGTCATGGTTTGAAATCACGCATGGCACAGAAGGTTCCCCTGCTTAAACCAGCACATGTCAAGGCCCGTCTTCAGTTTGCCAATGACCATTTGGATGATCCAGAGTAGTCATGGGAGAAAGTCATGTGGTCAGATGAGACCAAAATAGAAGTTTTTGGTCATAATTCCACTAACCGTGTTTGGAGGAAGAAGAATGATGAGTACCATCCCAAGAACACCATCCCTACTGTGAAGCATGGGGGTGGTAGCATCATGCTTTGGGGGTGTTTTTCTGCACATGGGACAGGGCGACTGCACTGTATTAAGGAGAGGATGACCGGGGCCATGTTTTGTGAGATTTTGGGGAACAACCTCCTTCCCTCAGTTAGAGCATTGAAGATGGGTCGAGGCTGGGTCTTCCAACATGACAATGACCCGAAGCACACAGCCAGGATAACCAAGGAGTGGCTCTGTAAGAAGCATATCAAGGTTCTGGCGTGGCCTAGCCAGTCTCCAGACCTAAACCCAATAGAGAATCTTTTGAGGGAGCTCAAACTCCGTGTTTCTCAGCGACAGCCCAGAAACCTGACTGATCTAGAGAAGATCTGTGTGGAGGAGTGGGCCAAAATCTCTCCTGCAGTGTGTGCAAACCTGGTGAAAAACTACAGGAAACGTTTGACCTCTGTAATTGCAAAGAAAGGCTACTGTACCAAATATTAACATTGATTTTCTCAGGTGTTCAAATACTTATTTGCAGCTGTATCATACAAATAAATAGTTAAAAATCATACATTGTGATTTCTGGATTTTTTATTATGTCTCTCACAGTGGACATGCACCTACTATGACAATTTCAGACCCCTCCATGATTTCTAAGTGGGAGAACTTGCAAAATAGCAGGGTGTTCAAATACTTATTTTCCTCACTGTATAGTGACAACGCCCGTCAGTTAGAGGGGCCTCCAACTAAATTTTGATTAGGGCCCCCGAAGGTCTAGGGCCGGCTCTGCTATATCCTGACACCTGTATCCTGTACATGAGACAGATAATCTTTGAAAAAAAAATCAGGTTTCTCTGGCTCCTCCTAGTGATATTTGCAATAATGCAATGTCTGGATGAAAACCAAACACAGTGGCTGAGAAACAACCAACAACAATGAAAAAACTGCTCATCCCTCTTTTGCCAACAATTGGTGCATCTTTGGGAAGACAATTTGTGGTGAGAGGGACCAGGGTCTTGTCAAGACTTTCACTACTACAAGACATTTTCAAAGGACAACCAGCTCCTTCTGCAGCGTTACAAACTTCTGGGTTTGGTAGGAGTTATACGAGCAGTAGAGACAAATGTGAAAGGGGTTCCATTGTGTATGTTCAATTGTTGCCTACTGCAGCTTTCAAGCAGTTGTGTGGCATCAATCACATTAACAGATAAATATTTTAATGTCATTGTCTCATGTTTTCAAACAATATTTAGAAACTGGGCTAATGGAGTCCATTAACCAGCAGAATATGTTGCCCAGAGTCATGAAATAACTAAGCTGATTTGTCAAGATTGTTTGGGTTTCAACCTGCAGTTTGATATGTCTCTTGGCCAAATCACAACAGGACTTTTCAAGCACCATCTCAAAGACGTATTGTTCAGTGGTTTTCGGTCAAACCCAAAAGGATTCATGTCACCCCA